CTGAGGTCGCACCATGCTTCCCTCCACCTTTGCATCCCAAGGCAGCTCCTGCAGCCTCTCCTGGAAGCTCTGCTCTCAGGCACAGCTCAGGTCCTCCCAGGAACTGGTCTGTGTTTCTAAGGCCTGAGTGGGCCCAACCTCTGCTGACTGGGGGGATGAATGGCAGGCTACTGCCTGAAGGTCCAAAGAGACTCAAGCGATGCCCGAAGCCACGTTGGGACAGCCAAGCCGGCCACACAGGACTTGGCGCTGTCCTGTGGGAGATGCCAGGGCCCACTCTTCTATGTGCTTACTTCTAGGGAGGAAGCACACAGTAGCCTCTGTAACCTGTCTCACCCCTACCCATCCCCCACTTTCAAGTCTCACACTCACAGGAAAACAGGCTCTATACCAGCTTTCACAAGGATGGGAACATACATATTGAACATCAATTAAATTCAAGATTATTGAGAGCCTGCTATGTGCCAGACATGATGGACAACACCAAATCCCCTCACCCTCTCACACAGCCACCACTCAGAGAAATACACAGACTCACACACACGTTCACACTTGCACACATTAACACAGCAGACCCTCCACCCATTTTCAGACCCACAAACACATCCTCAGACACTCTCTCCCCCACTGATATATCTGGGAGATGCCTGCACAAATGAACCCTTTCTCATGTCTGTGCCCACACACACACACATACACATCACACTTCTCCATGGAAGCACACAAACCCACAGCCACACACCAGTGCCCTGGCCAAGCAACCAGTCCCTGCACATTGACCTGCTGGGGCAAGATCCAGCTGGGCAGCATGGATTGCTGGGAAGGCCTTGACACCTGGCTGCTTGATCCCAGAGAATGAGATGACCCCAGGCCGAGGTGGCAGCTGGTGAGGGATGCCACCCCAGGCACTCTCTCAGCCAGCCCAGGTGGGATCTCAGGAGCTTGCCTGGAGTTTCCACCTGCCAGAAGGGGTTGGGGTGCTAGTCCCAGTCATTATTCTGGAAAATGAATCCCAGCATAGGGGTGCTACTAGTTGCAACTTCCCTCTTTCCCTCTCTCCTGGAAAGCTAACCATGAAAATATTTAAACAGAGAGAGGGATACTACGTGGAAGTTCTGAAAATAAATTTGGAAGCTCTTTACCTACTGCATAAATCTATCAAAGCCAGTCTTTAGCTCCTTACCTGGCAAGACCCAGCATCTGTCCTGATCAGTGAATGGCTGCTACAAGGGACATTTCCACGATACTGCTCAGCAATCACAGCCCCTCCCTGTCAGCATCCTCACTGAATAGGATTCTCAGTGGCTGGTCACCTCTGCCACCCTCCATCCCCCTCACCCTGTAGCAGTTGTGGAAGCCACCAGTTTTGCTCCAGCCACCTAATGTGACCAAGTGACTGGAAGCACCCGATCTTCCTTTCTGACCCCGACTGCGTTTGCTACAAGACACCCTTCATTTGTTCCCAACTAGGTCTCATGGGACCCTTTAGGGTGAAAGCCCAAAAAGAAATAAAATCCAGCCCTCAGGCAGCTGACTAGACCAGAGAAAGGAAATCTGCTTGGGGTCATTAAAGCCTCAGGCTACAGGGGGCAGAGGGGAGTACGTGGAGCTTGCAGTGTGTCTCTGTCTGTCTCCTCCCTACCCCCACGCCGGCGCCCTGCTGACCTTCCCCGGACTGAGTCTGGACCCTCAAATCCCTACCCCAAATCGCACCTTGAGGGAGTGGTCCCTGCCTGGGGAGCAGGTGGTGACTCCCGTCTCACCAGGAAAAGTTAAACAGAGCCAGAGAGATCTGGTGAGAGAACACGGGGCTACTCAACTTTTGGTTATCTTTAGTCGTTCGTTGTAATAAATTTCAGCCAATGGAAAAGGGCAGGGACCCGCATCCTGGGAATTCGGCCCCCACACCCCACTAGGGCCCATCTTCTGCCGAAATCCACCGGGGTGCTGGGAGAGAAGTAAATATTTTTCGAGGGAAAGTTGAAGAAGGATGGAGGAGGAGAGGACTTTGGACCGGCCCCTTTTTCATCGCGTTACCATCCTAGCACTAAGACATCAGTCCTTTGGGCACTCAAAGCTGCCTAGGAAACGCTGGAGGGGCAGGGAGACTCTGGATGGAGATGTACTGGGGATGTGAGCTGGCGTGAGAGAAAACGCGTGCACCGCGAGGGGGTGAAAAAAAACGCCCCATGAACGCTGAGGGGACCGACCTGCAGCTCGGGAAGGTGGCTGTCCTTTAGTGCACAGGTGTGAGGGTAAGCCCAGAAGCCCAGGAGCTCACCGGGCGTCCGACGGAGTGGGGGAAAGTCTAGCTAAGCCTCAGAGCTCCTGCACCTAAGTGAAGGCGCTGGGGCTAGAAAAGGACCCCCTCGCCATTCCTGCCACCGGAACCCACCCCAGCGCGGGTTGGTGCTCATTCCTGGAGCCATTGCCTGAGGCCGGCTGGTGAGCAGGTACGGAAAGAGGAACTCCCGGTCGCGGCGGTCGGGGACCAGGCAACGGGGCCGAGATTGGTCCTGGAAGACCTCGAGTCCAGGTGTCAGGGTCAAGGTTCCGAGCGACCTCGCGGGAGTCTCATTTGGAAACTCCGCGGGTGCCTTTGCGGCTGGAACTCGGAAATGGTTTCTCCTGGGCTGCAGGGTGGAATCGGAGTGCGGAGAGGCAGACGGGGTGCCCTCCGATGGGATGTCTTCCACCATTTCTCCACAATCTCGGCGGCAGGGCAGCTCCCTCGCCTGGGTAGGTGTCCGCCCCAGGCAGCCCAGCAGAGGAGAAAGTCTCCGCAACACCGCTGGGGATGGGTCCGAAGAAGGCCTGCCGCCTCGCCTGACCCGAGACATGTCCCTAGCTGCCCTAGAGGGCTCTTTCTTGGAAGGACTCACAAATCGGAGAGGCCCGCACAAGGGCGGATGTGAGGCTAAATTCAGAGCTCGCAGCGGCCCAGCCTACCCTGGGTACCAAGCGCGTCCCCTCCCTCCCTCCCTCCCTAAGTCCCGGGGACCGACCTTGTCGCAGGCCGGCTCCTGGAGGGATCCAGGGCTCCGCCTGCTCTGGGCAACCTAGGCCTCGGAAGACCGACGGGCCGCAACCCCCACCTGCCCCGGCGGGAGCGGCTTTCTTTTCCAGGCGTGGAAACCAGCGTACTGCTCCGGGCAATGCAAGGCTCTGAGCACTGAGGGCAGGGGAGCTTGGAACCCTACGACTAGTCAGCCCGATTCCCTTCCGCCCGCTAAGCCCGGGGGCTGGTGGTGGGACAGAGAGGTCTGGGAGCCAGGATGATTGAGCCGCCCCGCGTGCGACAAAGTCATCTGCAACTCTCATTCTTGGTAGCCGTTAGGCGCAGAAGACTCCACACTCCCGGTCCAGGGCCTCCGGGGCCCACGCCCGGGATTCTGTAGTTAGCTGTCTCTGCTGCTCCAGCCTGGGAGTCAGACTGAAGCTACCTGAGGTCCTATAAAGAGTCACTGGTCTATGGGCGAGGAGGGTAAGAGCAGCGACAGGGCGGACCTTTCAGAGCTGCCTGCCCTCGATTTCCTTCCTCCAGGGCTTTTCCAATAACCCAGGTCTGTCCGCCCAGCAAGGCGCTCAAAAGCTCATTGTCAGCAGGAATTATCCCAGTAACTTGCATGGGCCATGGAGACTCTGCTCATTGGTGACTTCTGGACCCCCAGAGTAACCAATTATAACTACCATTTATTTCTGTCTGTCTTATTAGGGATAGGGTCTTGCTCTATTGCCAAAGCTGAGGTGCAGTGGTGAGATCATAGCTCACTCGAACTCCTGGGCTCAAATGATCCTCCGTGCCTCAGTCTCCCCAGTAGCTAGGACTGCTGATGCCAGAGCATGCTTGGCTAATTTTTTTTAGTTTTTGTAGAGATAAGGTCTTCTTACACTACCTAGCCTGGTCTTGAACTCCTGGGCTCAAACGATCCTCCCGCCTCCGCCTTCCAAAGTGCTGGGATTATGAGGGTCAGACACTGCACCCAGCCTGTAACTACCATTTCTTGAACATATACTATGTGCATTGAGCACTTTAGACACCTGGTATCTGTTTAATTCTCACAGAGAACATACAAAGAAATTATTATTACCAGTATAAGAAATGAGGGTGCCAGGTTCGGGAACTCGCTGGAGTTTCAAATTAATTACAGCAGCAGGACGAGCATTTGAACTCACTTCCAGAGTTTGCAACACACTTTCTTCCCAGCACGCCGACTGCCTGTGAGTGAGCCCAGTGCCTGAGATTAAAGCCCCACCTGGTTCAGGAGCTCCAGGTAGCAGGGGCAGGTGTGGTGATTCCCACCCAGGTGGGCGGGGAGGTGGGGGGTTGGGACAGCTCCTAGATGTGGGGAGAGAACACCGGGCTACTCAATCCTCAGTTATTCCTAGTCCTTGCAGGAAATACAATATTGGCCAAAGAAAAAGGCAGGAACCAGCAGCTCTGGGGACATGTTCCCGGAGACCAAGTGGTGGTAACGGAACTCGCAGCCTCAGTGACCAGCTTTAAATAGCTTAAATCCCATGAAAGAGTTTATATCCTCAACAATTCACAAAATAACTGTTTCGTCACTTGCCCTCTACTGTGTAGACACGACTCACAGTCCAGTAGCCCAGAAGGGGTTTCTACCAGGCCGGCTATTCCAGAGTAAAAGTGGAATTGTGGAACCGCAGGCTCAGCCCGCTGCTGTTTCCCTCTCTGCCCTCCTTCTGCGACCCCCCACCTGGTCTCAGCCACTCAGCTCAGGAGATGAGGCTGAGACTGATACAAGGACCCTGAGGGCTGAGACATTAGTCCTTGTGGGATGTCCGCCTCTCCCCACCCCACCCCATTAATTCCACACTGGTGGGTTGGGGGCAAAGTCTGGAGACCAGTATATTAAAGCATCATTCCAGTCACTCTGGTTTACCACTGCTGAGCAAGGAGGCCAGGGAGGAAGGGGGATCCCAGACCCTGCTCTCTAAAGACCAGAACAGAGCTCACCATCCCTGCTCCCCCACCCTCACACAGGCTCCACTGGAAGTTTGTCTTCTCCACCTGCAGAGATATTGGCGTTACAAGCTCTCTGATTTCACCAGAGCTAGGTGATTCTATCAGTTTTGAGATAAAGTGTATGAAATAGGCTATTGTCCTGAGGCAAAGCTTTTGGTGACCCTGGAAAGCCACCATGAACTGATGAAGGAAGTCACCCATCCAAGCCTAGGGAAGTGAGCTAAAATTAAGGGTGAAGCTAAACTTAAGGAAATAAACCAGATGTGTGAATCATTCCTCCCATTTCCTTCCTGGCCCTGATGAGGTGAGGGAGGTGGCCAGGGGGAATTAGAAAAGTAGAGAAGGTGAAGCTGAATCATTTCTAAAAGTGAAGTAATATGAATAACTCCTAGCATTCTTTATATGGTACTTTGCAGAATGTCAATGGTTTCACAAAATTCTCATTGCTTAATATTCACAATTACATAGGCAGGCAGGAAAGTAATTCTGTTCCACGTTTGGCAGATGAGAAACTGAGGCTCAAGATATTATGTGTGGCTCTCCTAAGGTCCCAGAGCTAATGGAGGATCTTGCCTCTGCACTCTTGTTGAGGTGACTTGTTGAGTTTTCGGGAAAGAGCAGATACCAAACCAGCCCAAAGAATAAAGATTGCCTCCCTGGGACTGGGGGAAGGATGTGGAGAGATGGCAGCCATCACGGAGGTCTAGATGATGCCACAGAGACTTAAAGTAAAAGTACCTCAAAATCAGAACAATCTGCCTCTGAAATAACTAAAAGGAATGCCTAAGGCCACTTCCATACAAGGAAAGCCTGGGGAAGTGGACAGAACTGAAAACCAGAGCTTTGTTCTGTCATTGAACTTGGGACCTGTCAGTGAAAGCTCTCAGCCAATGATCTGGGAGCCAGATATGTTCTTAAATGGTGGAAGTTTTGTAACTGGAGAAAATGAGAAGAGCCTGAAGGCTTTTGTTTGCTCTGAAAGCCTAGACCCTGATGTCAGTCTGGAGCCTTAGGTGCAGAAGTCAAGAATCACTTTTTTTTTTTTTTTTTTTTTTTTTTTTTTTAATGGAGTCTCACTCTGTTGCCCAAGCTGGAATGCAGTGACACAATCTTGGCTCACTGCAACCTCTGCCTCCTGAGTTCAAGCAATTCTCCTCCCTTAGCCTCCCGAGTACCTGGGATTACAGGCATGTGCCACCACAACCAGCTAATGTTTGTATTGAAAAAACCGTAGGACTGGTCAGCCCGATTCCCTTCGGCCTGCTGAGCGTGAGGCCTGGTGGTGGGACAGAGAGGACTGGGAGCCAGGATGATTGATCCGCCTGGTGGGCGACAAAGCCATCTGCAACTCTGTCATTCCTGGTAGCCATTAGGCGCAGAAGACTCCACCACTCCCAGTCCAGGGCCCCCAGGCCCACGCCCAGGATTCTGTAGTTAGCTGTCTCAGCTGCTCCAGCCCGTGAGTCAGACCAGCATGGTTGAAACCAGCATGGGGTTTCACCATGTTGGCCAGGCTGGTCTCAAAGTCCCGGACCTCAGGTGATCCGCCCGCCTCCACCTCCCAGAGTGCTGGGGTTACAGGTGTGAGTCATGGCGACTGGCCTGATAATCACTTAGCAATTTATTTATTATTCCTTAAAGGAGTAAGTAAACCAATTGCTCTGAAGGCAAATAATATTCAATGGGAAGAAATGGGAAGAGGATTAGGAACAAGGAATGAGTGAAGACAAGAGAGATACAAAGAGTGAAGGAGGTGAGAGTCCGGGGTATCTGGAGCCAAGACACAAACTTGGAGTCAAAGAGGCGTCGGCTGGTAGCACCTTCCTCCAGGAAGAAGACGAGGAAGGAGACAGGAAAGGCACAAACGTGTAGCACCATGTCACCCAGAGGCAACGAAGATGTGTGTTGGGCACCAAACCAGAGAGCAGAAAAGACTGAAATCCCACCACACCTGGTAGTGTGTCAGCAAAAACCCTACCTCAAACTCAAAATCTACCCAACGCAGGTCAGCCTCCAACCCAGATGGAGCTGAGGCAAAGGACAGGAAAAGAGACTCCATAAGGTGTCACTGTAACAAACAAATTCCAAAACATAAGCTGCTTTCTCACCCACCCAACAGTTCCATAGGAGTGTTTCCAGTCAGCAGGTGGTTTCCCACAGGGAGATTCAAGGACCCAGGCTCTTTTATCAAATGGTTCCATCCTCACCTACAACCTTAGAATCCTTTGCACTTAGGTGCTGGATAGTAAGGAGTGTGGAGGACAGGCATGGGAGGTGCGAGGTGGGGGCTGGTGTAGAAGTGGTACTTTTTTTTTTTCTTTTTCCAAAAAATCAACTTTATTAAACATTCAGGGTCAATTTCTCTTCTTGCTCCTCCTGTGACCTTGGCTGGCGTGAGGAATGGAGCTGCTGGCTGGTACACAGTGGAGGAGGTCTTGATGTAGTACAGACCAACCATGGAGAAGATGAAGCAGACTCGGTGGATGAGGCCAGACGCAAAGACAGCCAACAGGAGGCACAGGAGCATCTCAGAGAAGACCTTTACTTGGGATCCTTTGCCAAAGATAAGATTCTCCAGAACCTTGAATGCAGTGAGGGAGAACACGAAGAGACCTGAGCCAAGCAGTGCGCCCTGGATGATAAGCCACTCGGTGGATGCCAGCTGATGGCTGTACATCTGCATCCCAGCAAAGAGCAGCAGGAACAGGAGGGAGGAGATTGCTAGTGCGGTGCCTATACCCACCACCATCATGCCGCACCCCTGAGTCAAATTGGTACCTCTGGCCAAGGAAAGGGCACTTTTACTTTTATTCTATTGGCTGGAGCTTAGTCACATGACCAACCAACTGCAAGGGAAGCTGGGAAATGAAACTACCTGTGTGACCAGGGAAAAAAATCCCAGGAAAAGTATTTACTGAGTGTGTATGAAATGTGAGTCAGTTCTCAGTGATTTTAGAACAGAAAGCAACTGTGCTCTGTAAATTTCCTTTTTCTGTGCATGCGTACTTATCGGCATTGCTGTTTTACTATCATGGTGTTTGCGTAGCGTTTTGGGGATTGTATTTTTTTTGTCTTGTTTTTGGGTGGGTTTTTCTTTTCTTATCTTGTTTTTTCTGTAGTGGAGAATGCATGTAGAGGTACTGCATGAGATCCAATTCCCACAAGTGACCACAAGTTATTTCATTTCCTCATTGTTGCATAGTATAATAATTTGGGCAAGTTGCAGCTGGAAGTAATTTTTTTTTAAACCCAAATGAGAGGTCTCAAGCAAAATAGATGATTATTTCTCCCACACATTAAAGCCTAGGTAGGCAATCTAGGTTTGGTGCAAAGTCAAGCTCCTCCTACTTAGGCTCCACTGTGCATAACCTCAATCTCATGCCCCAAGATGGCACTAGAAAGGACTAAAGAAAAATATAAAGTCATACGCATTCTGTCTCTTAAGTGAGATTCCTAGAAGCTGCTACACAACATGCCATTGTCCAGAACCTTGCCACAGGACCACACTGCGCTTCCAGCAAGACTGTGAAATATGGGCTTTATTCGGGTCAACCGTGTATTAATACAACGAAAATCCAGCAGTTCTATTGCTGAAGAAGGAAAGAACATTGTGTCAGAACTCAGTGGGAATTGAACTTGGTTATCTCCAAGGATCTTTATTGATGTTCTGAGTTTCTATCAAACCAATAACAACAACAACCAAAACAACAGCAAATTGTAAATAAGAAAGGTTGCTTTTGAAAAGCAGCACTACAGCAATTTGTTAACAACCACCCATGGCTAATTTATTTGTAAAGTTTAAGATTACATCACTAAGAATATCCCCAAAAATATATAATGTAGTTTCAGAATTCTATCCACTGAATTTCCTTAGAGTAGGACAATTGTTAATTATTTTCCCATGCATTCATGTGACAATGTTTTCTGCAAATGTGGAGAACTATTGGGGGGATCTATAACCTCTTTCATTGACAATAAAATAGTAATGTCTGCAGAAAAAGTTCTGTAACTAGCTGTGCAACCATGGAAGAATCACCCCGCTCCTTCATTCATTTATTCATCCTTTCCCTTGTTCATCTATCCCATAATTTAATAAATATTTTCTAAGTACCTGTCTGCTCAGTACCAGATATGAGGATATAAACATAATTTTTACATCTTCATTGGAAACAACTGTAGCCTGTCATGTCACTGACCAACTACATGACTTTTCCCAGCCTCTTTTGCTGTTAAGTGTGGCCCTAGGACCATGTTTTCTCTAAAGAAATGTGAATGGACACACTGTGGGCCACTTCAAGACCCAGCCCATAAGATCTCCCACCTGTGCTTTCCCATACTCTTTTTCCCTTTCCATTTCCTTGTTGAATGACAAAAACCAGAGTCACCTTGAAAGTCATGCTTTGAAAATGGCAGTGCTATCATTAACCTGGCTCCCTAAATTACCACATGGAGTAGAGCACTGAGTGACCCCTCCCGCAGCCTGGGACAGCTGCCCCAGGTGAAGGAAGAGACAAACTTGGTAAGTATAGAGATTCTAAATTTCTAAGCGGTATCTGAAAGATGTGTTTTTGTGTTTGAACCAACATGTTTTGGGATCTATTTGCTATAGCAATTTAGTCTAATTCAATTCCAGAGTATCACTAACCCCAATAGGCATCATTCACACTGTGCATTATCTGCCCCTGGAGCACAACAGCCGAATTAATAAACTAGATAAATGTGATGAGCATTCCAGGCAGAGAATCTCCAATGTAGATAGATGACTGGGTCTGTGTCCTCATTGATGAAGTGGAAAGGCATCCTTTCCAATTCTAACGTGTGATTCTCTGGGACAGACCACAGCAGGCAGCAGAGAACTCTAAAAGAGTAAACTCTTCTGGAACCAATGCATTCAATGAGAATGTTCTTTCCCTGGAAGCCAGAGAGGGCAGCAGCCTGTCAAAGAGTCCTAAGAATTCTTTTGTCATGATCTGTGGGAATGGATGTGGGCAGAAAGGAAGTGGGTATAGGGAGAGATCAACTGAGGCCAACACTTAAGGCTAATGGAGAAGATGAAATTCTGATTTATTCACACAGTGCAACCTGCATACATCTCCCAGCTTTATCTCATGGAGAGAGCACTAAATGGAGAATCAGGAGGTCTGGAATTTTACCTCTATCTTCTTCACCTTCCTGTACAACCTTAAGCAAGTCAGCAAACTCTGTGAACTTCAGTTCCCTGACAATAATGGGAAAGAGGACTATCCATAGCCTCTTATTTCATAGATGTGACAGAGGAAATATGATCAGCATGGAAAGCAACCTGAAATCTTTGGAAGAAAGACCTTGAGAATGATCACATGGATAAAGGCATTGGTCCTTTAGAAGTCACATAAAGTTGAAAAGTACTCACACTAACACACTAAATGCTGGGATGGAAGGTAATTTGTTAAACCTACTGTCTTTGAGCTGCTGTGCTGGGGTTTTAAAATGAGTTTTTTGGGGAAAACCCTCCAGTTTAATGGCAGTGAAAATAGCAGAATAAGGAACTCCAAAAGCCCACCCTTCCATAAAGGCGATTTCTTAAAAATTGGCAAAAACTATTAGAATCAACCTTTCTAAAACTCTGGAAACTAGCTAAAAGCTTGCAGCAACCCAGGGTGCACTCATTCGAGAAGCCAGCAGAATCTCAGTAAGGACAAAGAGCTTTGTGGCATTTTGACTTACCCCTAGTCCCATCCCACACTCACCATCTTAGCAGTAGAATTGAAAACAACAGCCCACATCTTCAGAACCAATATAGGAGGGAGAAAATGGACCACATTTACAAATTGTCCTTAGTTCATAGTCGTGGCTCCCAGAAGTCCTGTTGAAAAGATTTGTCTTTATCTTGCCAGCCTGACTTAAAAGTTGCCTTCTGCCAAATTCACCACCAAGGGTCATTTATCAAAAACATTTACAGGCAAATGTTTTGGTCTCTGCTGTTGGAGTCAATGGATAAAAGTTGGGCACACAATAGATTAACCCAAAAGCTTGGGAGGAAACACTAGAGAGTGAGATGACTTGGGAAATAAGAGCTTTGTAAAGATTCAGTATATTCTTGGGAATCTAGAAGACGACATGCATACCCAAGGTTGTGTACATGCCCAGGTAAGACCTGAGGAGGTTCTAAGGTCTTATCTCTGGTTGACCTTGAGGCTAGCAACAAGCAGAATGTAAAGGCAGAGTTGTAAAATCCCTGGCTGAATGGTGAAGACATGCCCAACCTACACACTTAATTCTTCTGCAAAGACTGGGTGTTTTTGTTGTTGTCATTGTTCCAAGTGTTTAAGGAAATCTCTGTCTAATGAGCGGACTGCTAAGCTAATGGAACAGAGACTTCAGTGGCCATGCATGACGAAGAATACAGACTTTACTAAATTGGTTTAGAAAAGTCACTAAGCAAACAGCAACAATAGCAAATGCTAGAGAGGAGGTAAAATCTGATTTTCAGCGTTGTCACATATTATTCAAAGTATCCAGTTTTAGCTAAAAAAAAATTATGAGGCATGCAAAGAAATAAGAAAAATTTCCCACACACAGAGAAAAATGAAATCAATAGAAACTGACCCTGAAGAAGCCCACACGTTGGACTTACTAAGCCCACACGTTAGATAAGGACTTTGAGATCAGTTCAAAGAACTAAAGGAAACTGTTTAAAGACCCAAAGGAGGCCAGGCACAGTGGCTCATGCCTGTAATCCCAGCATTTTGGGAGAATTGCTTGAACCCAAGAGTTTGAGACCAGTTTGGGCAACATAGTGAGGCCTCATCTCTATGAAAATAAGTAGCTGAATAAATAAAATTTTTAAAAGAACTAAAGGAAAGCATGAGAATGATATATCACCAAAATAGAAAATACCAATAAAGAAATAGAAACTATAAAAAGGAACCAAATCAAAATTCTGGAGTTGAAAAGTACAGTAACTGAAAAATTTTACTAGAGGAGTACAGAAGAAGATTTGATATGGCAGACAAAAGAATGGGCAAACTTGAAGATAGGTCAGTTGAGATTATTTACTCTCAGCAACAGAAAGAAAACAGAATGAAGAAACATGAACAGAACCTATGAGATCTGTAGGACATCATCAAGCATACCAACATAATCATAATAATGGCCCCAGAAAAATAGAAGAGAAAGAAAGGGACAGAACGAACATTTGTTGAAATAATGAACAAAAACTTTCCAAATTTGGTGAAAAGCATAAATCTACATATCCAAGAGACTCAATGAATTCCAAGCAGGAAAACCTCAAAGAGATCCATGATGACACACATTATAATCAAGGTGTTGCAAGATAGAGAATCTTGAAAACATCAACAAAGAAGCAATTCATCAAGTACAAGGGACCCTCAATAAAATTAACATCTGATTTCTGATCAGAAACCATGGAAGCCAAAAGACAGTAGGATGTCATATTCAAAGTGCTGGAAAAAAGAAAAATAAACATTTCTCAACTTAGATTCTACATCTGACAAAACCATCCTTCAGAAATGAAGAAGAAATTAGACATTCCCAGATAAAGTGAGTTTTGCTGCCTGACAGTATTCTCAAGTGCTACCAAATGAGCCTCCAGTTTACACTGAATACTATTTTACAAAACCATGACTCTCCCACCGGGATGGGAAAAGGCCATGGGCCTCAGTTTGGTCATTGTTCTGAGCTGCCCATTAGCAGTCACTAATCTTCACCCCCCACCATTAGAGATGCCGCTTTTGTCCCCATTCACCCCAAATAAAAACAAACCCAGGGTTAGATTCAGAGGGACTGGCCCCCAGACTCCTTTCCCAGATGTCTTA